GACTGAGAAAAACTGGATAAATTGTGTATACTGCACTGAAACAGATGAGGGACTGAATAATTTAAAAGCAATGTATGATAGGGTATTATAGTTATCACAAGAGTCCACAATTAAGGCTGCATAGTGGAATGTACTTGGGGTGGTGGCAGTGGCGCAGGGGATTGTGTACCAGGGAGGGAGTCTTTCTTCTACTTTTGAAAGAGAGGAGTGAACTGGGGGGCGGGAGGGCTGGGCGGGTAGAGAAGTGCAGCAATGAATGAATGGAAATCCAAATTCTCTGTAAATGTTCATTAAATTAAAAAAAAAATTGTCCCATGATCTTTGTTTGGTTACTGCCCTATTTCTCTGCTGTCATTCAGTTAAATGTTTTGAAGAAGCTATTCATATCATTTTCTTAGACCTTCTATATTCATTTCCAATTATTACCTTTTTTCTGCTCTGCCCACAGCTCAGGTGCCATGTAACTGCTCTTTATTATCAATTTTCAGGTGTCAACTCCAAAGTCACTTAGCTGCCATTTCTTGACTTCACTCGTAGTAGCAGCACAGCTAATTCCTTGCCTGAAACACTCTCCTCACTTAAAAAGTCTCTGTAAATCTACTGTCTCCTTGTTTTCTTCTTATCTCCCATAGCTCTTTTCAGCCAGTCTCTTGATGACCTGCAAAACTAAGTCCTGGGTCATTGCCCATCTCACAGTTTGGAAGTAGGTGACATCATCATCTAATTCCTATGGTAGAATTCTTTTGTGTATGGCAATGACCTCCAAATTAACTAGTAGAGATGAACATAAACTACCACCCCCATCTCTTTTACCCTCATGGACTACCACTTGCTTCCTTGATTACTCATTCAAAAAACTTTTCAGTTCACTGAACATGCTGAGCTCTTTCCTACCTCAGCCTGACATGCTGTTCTTCTGGCTTTGCTATATTTCTTCCACTCCTCACAAAGCTGCAATCTTATCCTTTAGGTCTTAAATGTCATCAACTCATTTAAAACAGACATTTTTTTCTCCCTCATTTCGGCTGCTCCTCCCCTTCAAAACATCTGAAATCCCCCTTCAAAACACCTGAAAACTGTTAAAACTAAAACTTTCCAAAAGTTCTGACTGACTCTTCATTTACCATACTGCAGGCACACTTGCCTTCTTCCTGTTTCTGGAACAATCACGATTTTCTACTTTCTGGCCTCTATACAAGCTCTCTGTTCTTCATAGCTTAGATCTTACTCTCCATGCCAACTCTGGAGGCCTTCCCTGCCTCCTCAACCTACAGGAGTCACCAGAGTACTCTGCTCTCATCTTCTGGCTAGGTTATATTTATTGGCTAGGTTGTCTGTTTTGCTTCGGTCTATTTCCTCACTGGAATAGAAGTGATTTGTTGAGCATGGTGTCTTCAGCACAGACAGTGGTGTATGGCATATAATTGATGCCACCTTAGTGATGTTATCTCCTTTTTATTTCAAAGGACAAATTCCACTCTCTGTGGCTCTGAACTTTCAATCTATAAGTACATTCAACATTTCTCCATTCTGTCTTCTCTTGACTCAGCCCTGCCCTCAGGTTACTGGGTTATTGTTTTTAATCATCTCTTTTACTCGAGGCCTCCACTTCACCTCAGTCCCTCCTTAGCCTGCGGCAATCTCTTAACATCCTGCTTTACTGGATCTGCTTTTCATGAATTTATTATCTATACTTATTTACCAAGTCCAGCATATCATTCTTCATATTATACAATTGATTTACACCTCTGAAGCAGTAATGCTGGTGATTTTTTTTTTCTTTTTAGTATTTCTTCCTTATTTTCTAAAAAAAGTATAGAACCTGATTTGTTCAATTAAAAAATGCCTTTTATTTCATTCTATTCATAAAACCTTTTTCATTGGTTTGCATACAATAATCTGTTTACATTTTGTTTTATTCATGTTCTCCCCCCTCCGCCCACCAAACTCTGGGATCCTGTTTCCCCCACTTCACCTTCAGCCTTCCTGCCTGGTCCCCTTCCCTCTTTGGATATCCACACACATCTTACTAGTTAGCCTTCTGTTTTAATAATGGTCTTACACAGTATTTGTTCTTATGCACCTGAGTTAGTTCACTCAGCATAATGCTTTCTAGCCTCTCCCAAGTCATACAGTATTTTTCAAAAGGATTGCTCCTGAGTGCTGCACAGTATTCTGTCCTGTAGCTGTAACCACCATTTCTCAATCCAGTCATTTAATGATAGCCATTTGGACTGTTTCCATGTTCTTAACTTTTGTGAATAAGGCGGCTATTAACATCAATGTACAAGTCTCCATCTGTGTCTCAATTCTGTTTCCCTTGAGGTATATATTCCTGACAGTGGAATAAGTGGGTCTTATGGAATCTCTATGTTCAGCTTTTGGAGGAAACGTCAATCTGCCTTCCAAATTATTTGTACCATTTTACAACACCATCAGCAGTACATGACAGTTCCCATCTCTCCACACCCTCTCCAACCTTTACTGCTTTCTGGCCTGTTAAACTCTGCCACTGAAAACAGGATGAGATCTCTAACTCATTTTGGTTCTGATGTGCATCTCTCATATTCCCAATGATTTTGAGCATTTCTTCACGAGTGTAATGGCCATCCCACTCTCTTCCTCCGTTAAAAGTACTCCCACATCTTTTGCCCATATTGTAATTAGGTTATCACTCATTTTCTTTAGAGGCACTTTAGTGTTCTGCTAATGTAAATGATACTGCTCTCTCAATTTCCTTCTCTGTATCTCCTTTGTTACAGGGGTTTCCTTCTTCTTTCCTTGGTATTCTTTGTTATTTCTCTGCCTTCTTGACCCCACTAACGTATCTATGTTCCTTAATGTACAGTGCCTTTCTTTCAAAATTAATCACAAAGACAGTAGTAGTAGAATTGGCTAACACTTCCTGAACTTTTCTATGTCTTACCTTATTCTTTGAAGTAACCTGATATTAATACTTTTACTGTTCCCTATTGTTTAACATTTGCAATGTTCACAGGACTAGAAACGATGTGTATCATTTCATTGACCCTTACTATAATCCTTTGAGATGATTAATGTCAGCAATCTCACTTTACCAAAAAAGGATTTGAAAAAGATATACAGAGCTTGAGTAATTTTCCCAAGGACTCAGCATATTAAATGTCAGAATCAGATGTGAATTATGTTGTTCTAACTCTACAGCATGCAAATTGAAGAATTATAATAACTCACTGGTGTCTAGCCGATTCCAACTCACAATGACAATACAACTATGAGAGAGAAGAACTGCTCTATTAAGACTTCCAAGGTTACAATCATCCTAAAAACAGACTACATCTTTTTCCAAAAGAGTGGCTGTTGAGTAAGATGGATTGACTTTTCAGCTAGCAAGAGAGTGCTTAACCACTGTGCAATTAAGCCTTCAGTAAGTACTGTATTACCCACTTTTGTTGTGCTGGCCCACAAGAACCCTCCCCCCAGGTTCTGAGGCTGTAAAGTTATTAGGAGGCTCTGCCCATTTTTCTCCCCTAATACCCCTGGTGAATTCACACCACTGATTGTTGGTTAGCAGCACAATGCCACCAGAACTGCCTGAATATCCAATTAACACCTAGTAGTGCTCATTTGCCTGTATTCTTCCTGGCTGATGCCATTCAGTTCCTCAGTACCTCAACTCCCACCCCTGCAATCTCTTTTCGGAGTTATCGCACAGTTTTTAGCCATATGCAATGTGTGACAAACACCTCAGTTTTAACAAAGGTAAGCTTAAACGCTACAACACTCGCCACAAACTTTTTTTTGCATCCACCTTAGTGTGAATTATGGCCATTATAATTTATTAGGTCATTCAAGCCAGAATTCTTAGAGGTCTTCTGAATAACCAATATCTCTGACTTCTTACACTTCACAGCCAAGGCCAGCAAGACCTGCCAATTCTAAAACTACAACCAGATAAAACAAGAAGGAAAAAGAAATCATTCTCTCTTTCTCAAAACCTGGCTACACATTTGGTTCAAGTCTTATACTGACCAGCTGGATTACTGCACTAGCTTCACAGCAGCAAAAATTTGTTTGGTGCCTGTCCCTCTCCTCTTCAAACAATTTTCTACACTGTCAAGAGAATTCTTTTTTCTAAATATAGTTTAAAATCTTTTAGTAACTATCTCAGAGATACATCTGAATGCCTTTCTTAATATGACATATTAGGATACTGCAGTGGTTTAGCTCAGGTCTAACTTCTTGCCATGGTCTCTCATATACCCTACTCTAATCTCCATTAATTTCCAAAGAGATGGCACACATTCTTTTACTTCAAAGATCTGAATATCAGGGGAGCTCTGGTGGCAGAGTCTGTAGGGAGCTGCACTACTAACTGAGTGTCTTTGCATATCCATGTGCTCATCCTCCCTCCTCCACCTCATATAAACTGTCACTTTTCTTTTTAAGTCCAAATCAAATGTTATATTCTGTAAAATCTTTCTCAATTTCTCCATTCAGGACTCCATTTCTGAACAATTTACTAAAGGAAAACTTATTCATGTCTAACAAAGAATCTTAAGAAATAAAAGATTCAGAAATTAAATACCTTCCAATCTTTGGGATCAAGTGTTTTCAGCATGGGAAACTCTTCTAACTGCAATTCTTCATCTTCTGACTCCTCTGATAACTCTTTCTTATCCTCCAGTTCCTGAAAAGAGGCAGAAGCATTTCTGTTTCTCCTCTTAACAAAAGCTTCAAACCATCTTCCCACAGGTTCAACTTGACAGAGTGTAGAGGCTGTGATTGAAAGTGTTAAGAAAGGCTTCAATGTAATGCATTGAACATATCTGCTTCAAGGCAACAAGTTTTCTCAGGAAATAAGATCAAAACAAAATAATGGTTTCAAAATGTGAAACCACCTGAATATACTTTAAAAATATCAATTAGAAAAACAGTTTAAGTAATATAATCAACATGAGGATTAGCAATAAATCATCATTTCCCAGTATGCAATCATCTTCCAGTTATCTGACACAGTAAAACACTCAACAATGTCAGCAACAAACCATTCTTTTTATGGGGCTGTAAAAGGAAGGTGAAGAATAGGGAGAAATGTTTCAAACTACTATTTTTAGAACAGTCACTGAAGTAAAGCAATAAAAACTACTAAACTAAGAGCTAGTATCTTAAAAAACAAAACACTTCCTAAACCACATGCCTATAAAAACTATAAATTTGAAGAAACTTATAGAAATAGATCTTTCATTCATGGAGTTGCTATGAGTCGTGCTCAATTCGACAGCAATCTACAATGACAAAACTATCTTCAAAAACAAAACACTTTCTAAAAATGCAAACCATCTTATCTGCTGCTGTTGTTAGGTGCCACTGTATCAACCATAACTCTATGAGTCCTTCTGACCTGGATGGCAATGAGTTGCGTTGTTTTAGGAGAGCCAAGCCAGTGGGAAAGTGGAGGAGAGATGACTGCAGAGTGGGTGAGCAGCTCCCTGAGGCCCACCTTGCACTTCAACATCCTGAATGTGCATTTCTGCTTTGATGAAAGCAGTGGGTATGGGGAATATCAAAACACCTTAGATAATTATTAAAGCCCTGAATTGACACCGCTTTTAAACATTTTAAGAATTTGCTAGGCATGATTTGTTCTGCAAATAACTTTGCAAGCACCTAGGGGAGAATTACTGGAATATGAGTGTACATACAGCAGCTCTGGATTTTAGTACAGCTCTAACAATTAAGTGATTTTCTGTCTTGGAATGAGTCAGATATGACTTCAACTCTAAAATGGGAAGAATAATAACTCGCTAGGAACACTGAAGGAGAAACTGTGAGCCCACCACACCTACTGTCAATCCAACTCAAGACAGCCCTTTATTGCACTTGCAAGGCTGTAAATCTTTACTGAAAGAGACACTCAGCTTTCTCTCGCTGTGGAAATGGTGGATTCAAACTGCCAACACACAGTGCACTAAACCACCAGGGCTACTTGCAACCATGCCTTGGAAATCACATGCTGTTGCATAAAAGTAAGGCATTATTATTCCTAGGAAGGAATTATCCATATTTTACCAAAATACGTATATCCATATTCTACCAAAAAAAGCGGCATCCACTTCCAAAATGGCTTGCCTCTGGAAACTCTATGTAAGAACAGTGCTCAGGCTGTTCGTTCATAGGGTCGCTATGAGTCGTCTACGACTCGACGGCATTAAACAACAACAAACAACCAAAAAAAGTAGTATGAGTCAGAGGAAAAGTGATTCACTCTTAATTTTAATTTCCTATTTCACAAGGAAGCAAAGATTTCTCCAGTAATGGATAACCAGTAAGTATTACTCCAGTAATTCATTATTCATTCATTATGGTTCAGGAATTTAAGATTTCCTTCCTAGCTACCTGGTAATTACAATTTTCTAGAAACAACTGAATTTTCATGTTTTAGTTGGTTTTGGAAATTAAGATTCGTTCACCCCACACAAAAGTGGATTCAAACACCATATCCATGAAATGCTGTTTAGCCGTGGGAGAGGTCTTTAAGAACACTGCCATTCAAATTTTTTCCTGTAGTTGAAACATTCTATACTTCAATATTTCAGATTCCCAACTAACAAGCTTTTACGTAAGAGGAATTAATCCAGATCATTGAAAACTGGCGTCTGTAAGTTTACAATAGTCAACGAACGTCTGTCTGTTCACCGCTATAAATCTAAGCTGGACATTGTCTCTTGCAGAGACAGACTTTTAAGTGTTATCTACGCAGACTATACCAGCGGCAGTAGCTGCTCTTCCAACAATGAATGGAAGAACAGGTGTCTGAGTTCTCACACTCAAAAAACCAAAGCAGGAGTAAAGTTTAAAATGTGTCCAAAAGCGCGTTAGCACCAAAGCTTTGCAAAACCCCACGCACAAGGAGTGCTTGCTGCAGGGCAACCTCTTCTCTGTTGGCAAGGAGATACGTTTAGGGAAACCTTTTTCGGAGTTAAGAGGGTTTGGGTCCTGAACAACTCTACCAGATTCATGAATCAGAAGACGAGAGGAAGCAACTAGAAGAGCAGAAGACGCCTGCAACTCTCCTTCTTTCCAACCTAGGGGAGGATTACGGCATAGCCATTACAAAAAAGAAATCCTTCGTTGTGACACTATAAGGGTAGGAGCGAGTCGCCAGGGTCTAGGGCTGAGACACCTCGGGATTACCAGAAAGAGGACAGAGACACGGGTGGCCGCGGCGGGACTGAATCGAGGTGGGTGGGCACGTACCAGAGGTCAGAGCGTGGGTGATGGCGGTGCCTTGGCCGTCCGCGGCGCTCGGCAGGAGCAGCATCATGGCACCAGGGCCAGGCCCGCAGAAGTAGCGGTTCAGGTCCCGAGAGGACGGGGATGAGCGTCCCCTCAGGTTCTACCCTCCGCTCCGAGCCTCGCGCCTTTGCTCTACGCCCAGGAACCGGCGCATGGATACAGTCAACAACCACTTCCGGGATGAAGCGTACGTAGTGCAGTTGAAAATCCCGTCCCAACCCCCGCCGCGTGGACTGCCGCCTGGTTCCCGCTTGACGCAAATCCGACTAGAAATAAAGACTGGTGAAGATTAGTTCCTAGACATGTTGTTGTTAGGTGACACCCAGCAGATTAAGAATCATAAGCGGCCCTGTGAATAACGCATCTGAACCTTGACCTATGCTGCACCATCCTCACAGTCCTAATATGCTCAATTTCATTGTTATAGTCACCGTGTCAATTCCTCTCGTTGAGAGACTTCCTCTCGTTCTCTATCTTTCCATCTTTCTCAGCATGATGCCTTTTTCTTTTTTCTTTTTTTCCAAATGTAAAACCTCTTCTCCCTTTTTATTTTTTTTATTTTTATTGTTATGCGTACAAAATTCACTGTGTATCATTCATGTACATTGCATTTTTTTCAAGCATGATGCCTTTTTCCAACGACTGGTCCTCCTGGCAACATACCCAAGTTAAGTAAAACGTAGTGTCACCATCTTTTACTCTAAGGAGCACCCTGGTTGCACTTCCTAGGAGACAGACTTGTTTTTGGTTGTGCAACTTTCAGATGCATAGAAAACAAAAATATCTTGCTTTAATCAAGCGCACCAATGTCTTTAAACTTACATTATTGTTCTTTGACACTTTGGAGAGATCCTTGACAGAAGATTTTCTCAATACAGCGTATCTTTTGATTAATTGGTACATAAAAAAGGGAATACTTTCCTTCCTCAAGTGCAAAGTATAGAAAATAGCTTCCTAAAACAGAAGCAATTGTTTTTGAAGGAAATAGAACCAGAGGTTTGTTAGAGGCAAGGATAGTGAAACTTCATCTCACTTTGGGCATGTTGTTGGAAAGTTGCCAGGCCTTGGGAAAAGTAGAGAGTCAGCGAAAGAGAGGAGAACCTCAGGAGATGGATACAGTGCCAGCATGACAGGCATAATCAGGATGGAGCAGAATAGGGCAAATTTCCTACTTCTTGCTCATAAGGCTACTAGGACTACACTCAACAACAACCCAGAAACAGAACCTTCCATTTTCTATTTAAGGTTCTGCTATTTTATATATAAATCTGAATCTAACCATTGATTTCCCCACAATAGCTTTATTTATTAATGTATGAAAAGTTGTGTGTAGTTAACAGGACAGTAGAAAGGACTTCAATGATATATACACCCATTGTTATTGTTCTATGCAGTCAAGTTGGAACCAACCCAAAGCTGACCATCTAGCAGATTTTTAGAGGCAGTTAATCACCAGGAGGAGATTGCCCATCTTTTTCCTGTGGAGCGCCTCTGGTAGGTTCAAATCACATGTCTTTGTGATTGCAGCATAATTTCGCACCACTGGGCCACCACAGTTCCCTATGCTGTTGTTTTTGATTGCCTTAGAGTTGAGCACAACTCATAGGTGACCCTATGAACAAAAGGCCTGAAGCCTTTCTATAACCACCAACATTTATCAAAGTTCATAGAGTTTCTGGAGGCATGCTGTTTAGGAAGTGTGTGCCACTCCTGCTTCCAAGAGTTTCCTATAACCCATAACAATGTATACATTTATATAAGGGTATGTATCAGCAACAAAACATATTATATATAGGTATAGATATAGATAGATATAGCTACATCTGAGGTCTGGTGGCCCAGTGACAAGATACACTAAAATCTTGAAGGTACCCAATTTGAATCCCATCAGCTAAAGGATGGGCAATCTCCTTTCAGGCAATTAACTGTCTCTAAAAATCCTCTGAAGGGCCAGCTATGGGTTGGTTCCAACTTGACGGTACACAACAACAACAACATATTAAAAATACTGTTTATTGGTCAAGTTGTGAGAATTTTTGTTTTCATGATGTTGAAGTATAATCTATACTGAAATCTTTGGTGGTCCTTAAAGTTGGTTTGAAGTACAAGCTTCAAGTCTTCTTCACTTTTAGTAAGCAACATTGAGTCATCCACATAAAATAGTTGATGAATATGCCTTCAATCCTGATTCTTCTTCATATAGTCCAGCTTCTAGGATTATTTGCTTACTGAAATTCAAGCTGGATTCAGGTTGTACTGGAAGTATTGTTGATTTTA